AAAAATTTTGTTATAGTCCAGAAGACTAATATTTGAGAAAATTGATGGTGTGCTATTGAAAGCAAAGAATATATCTATAAAAGTGATAAAGATTATGATCACATTGTATTAGTGGAATTGATAACTAAAAGGACAATAATCTTGAGGCTTGACTATTGAATCATAACAACAGAATTAGTAATAACTCTATGATCAATATGATAAAATTATAAACAACTATTATAATATGACTAGAAGTCATATAGACAAATATGTATCAATTCATTGAAAAGCAAATGTTAAGAAAAAATAGTTGTGAAATCAAAAAGACCAAGTGATATTATGAAAATATCGAAGGTAATTTTAACGCCAAAAGACAATAAGTTGTGAAGAAAGATAGATGCCCAAAGTATATATAAAAATAGAAAACATATAAGTATATGCCTAGAAGGCTATATGTGTAATGTTTAATTTTTATCAGTCGTTAAATTTATTGTAATTTGTGAGAAACAAATTGTTATAAGAATTTGATATTGTGATATTGATAAGTATGTGATATAAAACTAAATAGATCAAATAGACCCAAAAGTTATTAGTTATATTTTGTTTATTTATATCTTATTTATATGATTTGATTTAATATTAGTTTTGAATATTTAAAATGTCTATAGTACCTTGATTAATATTGAAAAGTTTTGAACGTTAAGTCTTATTTGTACTTTATTTTTAAAAAGTTCATTTTAAATGTTCTTCATCATTTTTGTGTGTTCTCTATGTGTATTGCAAGTTAAATTTGTGATACTTATAATTATTTGTTATTATGTTAATGATATATTGAAATAGAGTTGTCTTTCATATTCTTTTTAAATTCTATAGTTCTTGAAGAACTAGATGTAATAGTATTAATATAGTTCTAGAAGAACTAATACTGATTTTTCTTTATGAGCAGACAAAGTATTGATAGTGAAAAATATGACTCATAAATCTACATCACTACTTTGGTTCTCCAAAGAGTATAAATGTTATAGTACAATTAGATTAAAGTTCGTAACTATATATGAATTAGGAAGTACTTGGACTTCCAAGTCAAAGATAGGTTATTGGTTTTAACCTATTATATCCTAGTAACTGTTTATGAAATATATGAATAAAGGAATCATATTTGAATGACTCAATCTTGATGGGAAAAACTGTTGGAATACAAGTATGAGTTGATATTGAATATATTTTTCATATCAATTTCATAAATGGATATCATCAGTCATATATTATATTGAAAAATTTATTGTTGGTGATGAAACATGGTACAGTAAACCAGGAGTTTACTGATATAATTAGATTTATTATTGGCATGACTTGTTTGACCATCTTAAACTATATGATGCAACAAATTATTGAAGATAATGTCTTGATATCCATTAATGAACCAGAAGATTCTTCCGGATAGCCAATATTTTTAAGAATTCGTATGTGCTGCTTGTTCTCAAAGAAAATTGATTATAAAATATCACTAGTTATGTTTTGTTTTTGAATGGATCACTACATTTCAGAAAATATATATGGGCCCATTTAGAAGCACGTAAGCCATACAAGTATTCAATATTTGATAGATGCGTCTATATAAAATGGTAAAAAGTGTGATTGACATTAATTTGCAACCTGAAGTTTGTAAGATTATTTAGATAAATATTTCTAGACTATGTGATTCCCAAGACTTGATTTTAAAGATGCTAGTGAATTTATATATCAGGCTTTTAATGTTGAAAAGTGTGCTTAACAAATTGATTTAGCAAAATCATTTGTTAATGCCTCCATGAATAGCTTGATCAATATTTATGAGAACAGATTTTTTTCATTTTAGTGTTGGCATATTTGATTTAATATATTGCAGCACTTATAGATATCAAGGCAACAAAATTCTCCCAATAAAATTGGCTTTTGGTCAAGAGCCAAGTATTTTTCATCTAAAATTTGAAATGTACAATATTTATTCCTGGTAATCCACCACATTGCACATAGATGGATATTTAAAAAAAAAAGGCTGGACATATGTTGGGTAAAAACTTCTTTCTTCTTGTTTGTTCCTAAATGGAACAAAACAATGTTCCTAAAAGAAACAAATAGATTTAGGACACTTATACTACATAATTAGTTGACTGTTATTCGACAAAATTTTCCTAATATGAGGGGGAGAAATTGAGTATCTGGAAAAGAGAATATATGGAATGCATCATTACTATCAAATACAAATCCCCATATATATTAGTATGGACCAGAAGTTCATCAAAATTCCATTTATGAAATGCTACAAAATATTTTACTGGCTTGAATGAAAATTTTTAAATCTCTTATTCCAGCTGAAAATGCTCCAATTATTATAAATATTAAGACATGCCAGAAGTATGAGAGGTTAATCGGCTCCAACATAAATATCTTGAATAAAGAGGAGCATACAACTTAGAAGTTGTATTGAAGAGGCATGTACTCTAGAAGAGTGTCGAGATATAACTAATTGTAAAACTCTAGAAGAGTTTCAGGTACCTGAAAAGGAAGAAAGAGATCTCAACAAGTTATGTCACAAAAGAAAAAATGGAACAAAAACGGTAAAGTTGTCGACAATGATTTTCATAAGAATATCACGTGATAAAAAGAGGATCTTACACATAGATCTATCATATAAAGTAGATATAAATTTGGCCAAGAAGAAAAAGAAAAGGGAAAAGACGTGATCAAAATATCATTTGAATATGTGAAAATGGGCTTGCAGTCCCAACACATGAAATATAAAGTTTCTATAGAATATATGGATGTTTATGTGATGTGAAAATATAGATTTTCACAAATGATTATGATGAGACATATTATTTTGTGGTGGATATAATCTTACATATTTGAATAGTCTGGCATTATGAAATGTGCCTGTTAGATGACCCATGGATGGGGATCATTAAATAGTAAAATTTACATGATAATCTTTGAAGGATCCAAAATATGCCAGGAGTATATATATGAAAATCTTTCAGTATATGAAATATTGTGAAGATTAAAATGATTTCAGTATGTATCATCATTTTACAGTTCTGGATCAAAATATATGAAATTCCCTGAAGGATTTCACTTGCCAGAAGCATACAATTCAAGTTCTTGAGAACAATACTTAATTAAGCTAAATAAGTTCTATAAGAATTGAAGCGATCAGGACGTATGTGGTATAACCGACTAAGTAAATATCAGTTGAAAAAATGATATAAAAATGATCCAATTTGCCCATGTATTTTTATGAAAAGATCTGAAAATGAGTATGCTATAATTGTTTATGCTGATGACATAAATATTATTAGAACTCTTGAAGAGCTTACAAAAGTTATGGATTACTTAAAGAAAGAATTTGATATGAAGGACTTGGAAAGAACAAAGTTTTGCTTTGGATTGCAAATTGAATACTTGAGAAATGCAGATTTTTGTGTATCAAATAATTGATACAAGAAAGGCCTTAAAGTGTTTTTATATGGATAAATCACATCCATTATATACTTTGATGGTTGTGAGATTTGTGAAGGTGAATAATGAACTTTTTAGATTTTGAGAATTTGATGAAGAACTATTTGGTCTAGAAATACCAAATCATAGGTCTAGAAGTATCATATCATATTTTATTGGTCACTCATGACTTGACATATCATTTGTTGTTAACTCATTACCAAGGTGTAGTTCTTCATGAAAGATATTGGAATAGAGTTCTAGATTCTTTTTTGATCCACATGTTGGTAATTCCAGATTAAGTATTTCATAATATTCAAAAGATATATTTAGCAAATATGTTCAAATAAAAATCTGACGGATTTGTTCACCAAGTCACTTCCAATTACACTATCTGAAAAATTTGTTCATGATATTGGATGTCACAAACTCGGAGATATCAATTGATGTTATCAAGAGAGGGAGTTAATACACGTTGTACTCGTTTTTCCTTGTCTATGGTTTTTTCCCACTGGGTTTTCCTATCAAGGTTTTTAATGAGGCAATACCAAATAGTATATCAATAAATGTGTAGTTTTTTTCTTCTGCTAGGTTTTTGTCCCATAGGGTTTTTCCTAATTAAAGTTTTTTAATGAGGCACATATCTTATATAATGGACATCCAATGGGGAGTGTTATGAACATATAACATGTGGATGTCTATCTCCTCTTCTTCCTCTTCCTTTTCCTCTCAACTTCATCATAAACTCCCATTACTTCCACTAGGCATTAATCTTCCACTACTCCATTACTTTTCCACTATGCCTTTAATCTTGTAACTCCCTACACTCATATTCATGTGGTTTATTGTCCATTATCTCTCATTTAAGTACAAATGTAATTTATGTGTAAGACTATGCCTATAAATAAGGCATGCTATTGTATTGTGATGCAAGTGAAGTAAGTGAAGGAATACAATATCATTTTCTTATTTTCTTGTCTACTTCTCTTCTTCAATCTGCTTTTATTGTTGGTTAATTTCATAACAAATGTATAATTTTATTATTTATTTATTATTATATTAAATAGAAATGAAATTAAAAAATTAAAAAATTTTAATATTTTTTAATTTGCATAAAATATGTTAAAAATAACTTATAGTTAATAGCAGAAAATAATTTACTTAAAAAAGTTGTTTTTTTTACCAGCACTTAAAAAAAGTTGTTAAATTGAAGGCGAAATAAAATAAATTTAAGGTACGTGCGTGGGCGCAATGTTTGAAGAGTACAGACACATACATATGTATTCTTTATTCTTAATTTTAGAGCCGGACAGAGAGCCTATGGATTCTTGAATACGTTCGTGTCAACGGACGCCAAAAGAAATTCAAATATGGCAGAATTTCAGTGCGGAAGACTAGACAGCGAAACTGAGAGAGGAGAGAAAACATAACACGTATCTTTCTTTTTTTTTAATTTGTTTTATTTTTCTCTGCATATAAATTCATTTTTATGAAATTCTATGTACTTTCTAGTTTCTACTTAATTTTCCCGTACTTGTTCTTCTTCCCTCCAATCATTTCTTGCTTTCTCCTTTCTCCCTCTAATTTTTGCTCTTGATTGCTACGCTTTTTTCTCTGTTCTTTTCTTTTTCCCCCCTTAATTTCAGCTCGTGAAATTTTCTCTCACTTCTCTTACTCTGGTTTTCCGGCGATGGAGGAGGAAGTAGAAGAGTGAAAGGAAGAAATATCTCTGCTTCTACGAAACTCTCCCTCCCTACCCAATTTCCGTGATCAATACAACTGTTTAAACCGTCAGCTAGAAAATCTATTCTCCATGGACGCCCTCTAGCGCCTCCTTCACTCTCGTCTTCTCTTCTGCAGGTACCATATGTTTCTGCTCCTTTTACTCTCTCTCAGCTTTCTAATTCTTCAAATCTGAAACAATTCTTTCGTGGTCTCCTTTTGCTGCATTTGATCGCGATACCTAGCGAGTAGGATTTTAGAATTTTGGCAAATTAAACCTGTGCTGTTGGTGAGAACTGAAAAACTGTATCTTTTTCTTGTTGGGGCTGCTACTGTTGATTGAACTTGCTTGGTGATTCCGGGTTGGAACTTAAGTTGACTCTTACCAGTTTCAGTTGTGGTTTCTTCAAGTCATATAGAAGAACTGTGCATTTTTGCGTACAGCACATAAAATCTGTGGATTACTGTGGACTGGGTTATTTTGCTCTGGGACTTTGTTAACTTAGTGGGCAGTTGTGAAAAGCTTCGGCTGTTAAGTGCTCTCTCGCTTCACCGTTATTCTTTAATCCTTTAATCTCGCTATCTTGTTATATATATGTTTATGTTTTTATGGTCACAAACCACGAAGCACGTTATCCTTTTGAATTTTAGATGAGCCGAAATAGTGCTCTACCCATCTGCCATTATTGACAGCTTGATAAAGGGGTTAAACGTAGTGGAAGGGACTGAACATAGTATGATTAAAGAATGATCAGAATGGAGAAAGTTCCGATTTTTACTTCTTTTCTTGGCATATTTTATTCGAGGGAAAGACAGAGAAACTGCAGTGCTTTTTGTTTGGAAGCATAAAGGACACAAATGAATATGCTTGAATTTTGTAATAACCTACTACCATATCGTTTTTTATAACTCGATCCCCTTGCCACTTAATTTATTTAATTTTCCGTTCCCCCTCCCCTTTCCTGCCTTTCTCTTTCCGAACCAAGAAAAAGGAGAGAAAATGGATTCCAATGAGAATCAACATTCCTTGGCTCTTGTTGTTTCTTCAACCAAATGCATCCATTATGGAATTACTTGATTCCTTACTACAGTTCCATTTCAATTATTCAACTCCATCTTATAGAAGTGCTATTGATCAACATGTTGTTGTGGCTACTGTTGTTGGTTAATTAAACCTGGCACATCTCGTTGGAGGTTGTACTCTTGTACTAATCATCCCATTGGGCGGTATATCCTATGTAGTGAGATAGAAAAATCAGGGAACCTTAGCTTGTCTTTAAGGGAGACTGAATTATGACACTCCTTCCTTTAATTGTGGCAATGTTATGTGACGATCCGTGACAAATTTGTATCACTATGGTTCTAGCTACATTGTCTTTGCATAATTGATACTCAGCGATTTACTCACACATCTTCTTTAATCTATTCTTCCTTCAGAAAGTGATTCGATGGAGTCAGAGGATAAGCATTCTTTGGATTCTAAGTCAGCCTGTGGGTCAGCAGGTGCTTCCTATTTTACATGTAATGCAAACATTCAGCTATAAACGTAGAATTCATGTCTATTAATCAGCTACGCACACTGTTTATATAGATCTTTCTGGGATCTCTCTGCTTAATGTTGCTAAAAATGCGGAAAGCAGTGCTTGGGGGATACCACACAGGGTTGGTGCACATCATGCATCGAGTGATGCTAGCTTGTTTTCTTGTTCCCTGCCTGTTCTTCCACATCAAAAGTGTAAGCTTGGGATTCTCTTACACGCAATGCTGGAGTCACCTGATATGATTTCTGATGCCTTTTTTCTTTTCGTTTTTATTGTCAATATGCAGTGAATTTTCCTGATTCCGTGCGTAATGGCCAACCTTTTGATGATAACATGCCAGTGTTTAATAAAGACGACAAGGAAGTTGGGGGGTATGATCCCCTTGAAGATGTTGAAACCAATGCTGTTGGAAACATGCTTCCTGATGATGAAGAAGAGCTATTAGCTGGGATAATGGATGATTTTGACCTGAGTAGATTGCCCAGCCAACTGGAGGATTTGGACGAGAATGATTTGTTTGGTAGTGGGGGAGGGTTAGAAATGGATTTTGAGCCCCAGGAGAGTCTTAAGATTGGCATGTCAAAGATGAGCATTACTGATGGAGTTGCTTCAAATGGTATTGGCCATTATGTACTTCCAAATGGTGTGGGACCTGTGGCTGGGGAGCATCCCTATGGAGAACATCCATCAAGAACATTATTTGTGAGAAACATTAACAGTAACGTTGAGGATTCTGAATTAAGATCACTGTTTGAGGTATGCTACATTAAAGCTAGTGCTTCAATGAATTTTGTCTATCTTTTGATGCTTTTCTGATGTGGTGGATGATTATGCTTTTGCTTTTTCAGTTGCATTTCTTTGCTCATTTTAGTTCCCTGCTTTACAGTAAATTTATTCCTATCCATATGGTGATTGTGAGCAAACAAGAGTTGAATGATAATACTCACTCTTTGCCTATATTTGTCATAAAGAAGACAGAGGATAGTATATGGAAACTCTCCACCTTTGTCTTTAAACTTCCAAGAAACCGATATGTTGGTAGTCTGGGCGTAGGAAAAATTCTACTACCCTCGCAGTCTTTTTTCCCCCCCTCATTTTTCTTTCTTTCTTCCCAAACGAAAAGATGCTGCAGGCTTATATATTTAACGGACTGCAGTTCATCTGTCCCATAGTATAACGGTTGCACCAAAGCCTTTTAAAACCAGGGCAAATATAATTTCACAAAAAAGTTGGGAAATTTGAAGCTGAGCCTAAAACTATGTCACTAGTATTACAACCAACATTTTGTTATCTACAATTTTTGTTTGTGTGTGACTTTTTGGTTGTCGTGTGCTGCTTTGGTGACAGATACTTCCAGTTGATATTTGAATGATCTCCTTTTTAATTATGCTATTTTTTTTTTGGGTTATTTTTTTGTTCTGCATTGAGGATGGGTTTTATACTTTTCTTTGTTTACTTTTTTTTCAGTCTTAATTTTGATTCTGTATTTCTTCTTTCTTGTTTTATCTTTTTGTTTGTATAGCAATATGGGGATATTAGAACTTTGTACACTGCATGCAAGCATCGGGGCTTTGTGATGATATCTTACTATGATATTCGAGATGCTCGTACCGCAATGCGTGCTTTACAAAACAAGCCCTTGAGACGAAGAAAACTTGACATTCATTTTTCAATCCCTAAGGTTTGATTTTTTTTTTTTTTATAGCTATTCTTAAGATATAATTAATATGATTTCTTCTTTTGGCGGTTCTAATCTTCTTCACTACTGTTCAGGACAACCCCTCTGAAAAAGACATCAACCAAGGAACTCTTGTAGTCTTCAATTTGGATCCGTCAGTGTCAAATGATGATCTTCGCCTAATATTTGGGGCTTATGGGGAGGTCAAAGAGGTAAAATTTCTGCGAGTGTGCTCACTGTCCATCTGAATTTCTTGTTTGGATTTCTTCTTGGTTTTTACCTTGTCATGTATTAGTTATCTTTTTACTTGGTGTTAAAAATTGCAGATAAGGGAAACACCACATAAGAGACACCATAAATTTATTGAATTTTATGATGTTAGAGCAGCTGAGGCCGCACTTAAGGCATTAAATCGATGTGATATTGCAGGGAAACGCATCAAACTTGAACCCAGCCGCCCTGGTGGGGCACGAAGAAAGTAAGGTTTCACATTGGTTGTTTGCATTTTCTAAACAGTTGGTCAACAAAATGCACTATTATTTCGCTTTCCTGACCTATGACTTGAGTATCTTAAAAATATACTGCACTATTACAGTGTCAGGGTGTTGTGTTATAAATTAAGTAATTAATATAGTACTAAAAACAATATTTTTCTAACATTATTCTATTACTATTCATTGAAATGACTTTTTTTAAAATAATCCTATATCATTTAAAACAAAATTCTTGTTGAGGTACATTTTATAAGTTCAATGGGTTGGGTGTTTTGTTGAGCTACATATTTTTCTCTAAAAAAATTGAACGTTCCCATGCCATGCATTGGAGAATTTTCTAGTTAATTTGTTGCCTCACCATCTTTTAAGCAACTGCGGCTAATTTGTGGCATTTTGCTTCCTCCTTTTTTCGGTCCTTAATTAAGCCTTTCCCTTTCAATCTTGTAGACTCAAGGCTTCACTCTCTTATGCATGTTGGTGTTTTTTTTCCTTTATATTACATTAGCATTTATTTATCTTTGATATGTTCTTGGGGAATATTATAGTCAAGTGTACATTATGACTTGTACTTGAAATGGTTTTGACATCACTTCTTGGGCTAACCAAATTTAATTCTGCATTAAACACAAAATTAGCCACTTACCACTTGTGTTCATCATTTATGCTAAGTGGCTAATGTAGAACCACACAAATTTATGATGGTTAACTAAATTAAAATTCCTTTAACATCACAAGTCTCGACCATATTGCTTGAATTACAGTAATGAGGCCAGTATGGTCATAATTGATTGATCCAGTTCAAAATTAGTCATGCGTTTTCTTTTTTCAGTTTGATGCAACAACTGAGTCAAGAGCTGGACCTAGATGAAGCGCGGCCTTTTAGACATCAAGCAGGTTCACCTTTGGCCAGTTCTCCTCCTGGTATGTTTCTTTTATTTCAACCTTTTTTCTCATGTTCAGTTATATACTATAGTTATGTCGTCTTTTAGAAGCCCTTTCAGTTGGAATCTGAATTAAGTGGCTAATTTGTGCAGGTACCTGGGCACAATTTAGCAGTCCAGTTGAACATAGTTATTTAAGTTCTTTTAGCAAGTCTCCAGTAAATAGCAACCATTCATCTGGATTGGCCGCAATTCTCTCCCCTCATGCATCAAACTCTACGAAGATTGCTCCAATTGGCAAGGACTCAGCAAGAGTTAATAGTTCAAATCAGATATTTACAAATGCAGTATCAACAAAAGGAGTAGCTTTTCAGAATTCACTGTCATTTCCCGAGCTAAAAGTAAATGCAAGTTCTAGACCCATTGCTACTTTTGGTGAGTCAAGCTCAACTTCATCAAGCATTGGAACACTATCTGGTCCTCAATTTCTTTGGGGAAGTCCAACTACTTCTTACACAGACCATTCAAACACTTCTGCTTGGTCGTCGTCTTCTGCTGGGCTCCCTTTTACATCTAGTGGTGAGAAGCAGGGGTTCCCATATACTAATCGACACAGTTCCTATCTTGGTTCCCGCTCCCATCATCATGTAGGATCTGCTCCTTCTGGCCTTCCTCTTGATAGGCATTTTAGCTATTTCCCGGACTCACCAGAAACTTCTTTCATGAGTCCAGCATCATATGGGAGTATAAATCATGGTGATGGGAACTTTATGAACATGGGTGCTCGTGCAGCTTCTGGGGTTATTGGCCTTTCAGGAAGTGCTGCTGAAACTAATTCACCTAGTTTCAGGTTGATGTCACTGCCCAGGCACAGTTCCTTGTTTCTTGGAAATGGTTCTTATTCTTCAGTCGCTGCAAACAGTGAGGGGTTTATTGAACGTGGCCGGAGTCGGCGACCTGAAAATAGCATTACCCAAATTGATAGCAAGAAGCAGTATCAACTTGACCTGGACAAAATTATCAGTGGCGAAGATACAAGGACTACTTTAATGATTAAAAACATTCCTAATAAGTATGAATGTTAATCTGGTGATGTGCCTCGTATTAGCAATTTGAGTTGGACTGCAGCTTTTTTTTTTTTTTTTAAATAATTTTTTTTATTTTTAGAGTGATGTTTGTGATATGTGTTGCCTTTTAGGTACACTTCAAAGATGTTGCTGTCTGCAATTGATGAGAACCACCGGGGCACTTATGACTTTCTCTACTTGCCCATTGACTTTAAGGTATACTTATTTTGTAAATTATTTTATTTGTCGAGTGATTTTTTCCAAGGTGGCTTTTTGCTTAAAATTCTTTTTTCCTTGCAGAACAAGTGTAATGTGGGTTACGCTTTCATCAACATGGTGTCTGCTTCACATATTGTTCCCTTCTACAAGGTTTAAACTTTGGTTCTTTCTCATGTTTCAGTTTAAATTTTGTTACTGTTATTTCAATTTAGTTTGCGGCTTTGTGCCGTAAGGACACCCTAATGTGACATTTTACCTTGACATTATGACAATAAACACCTTTCTGACAATGCTGTGAAAATTCTTAATAAAATTTCATGAATTCCTTGAGTAGGTTTTGGCTTTATTCTTTCGCTTAAATTTTGTACTGGTCTCAATAAGCATGTGCATAATTAAGTGAAGTCTAACCATTGAAATTTGTGCAGGAATTTAATGGGAAGAAATGGGAAAAATTTAATAGTGAAAAAGTTGCATCACTGGCTTATGCACGGATCCAAGGAAAGGCAGCACTTGTGACACACTTCCAAAATTCGAGCTTGATGAATGAGGATAAGCGATGCAGGCCAATTCTCTTTCATTCAGAGGGCCAAGAGACTGTTGACCAGGTACTGTTATTTACTAAAGTTCACTTATCAACTTCTTGAAATAGTTAAACTGTTGATACTCTCTCGCTTTAGTGTAAAAGCTGCATTCATCTATCACCTAATTCTGCATCTTCTGTGGCCCAAAAATTAAAATCATGCATCTGCTGTTTATTGGACAAGGATATGGCTGACCATTTTTCCATTTACACTATCTAGGAACATTTCTTATCAAGCAATTTGAACATTTGCATCCGTCAACCGGATGGGTCATACTCGGGTGATTTGTTGGAAAGCCCAAAGGGCGATTTGGATGACAAGCTGTAGACAAATTAACTATTTAATGCATATCTTATTCCTAGTCACAAGAAATGGGTCTAGGAGTCCTAACCACTGCACACTGAATCTTTAGCTGTACAAAGTGACTCATCCAAAAAAAAAAAAAAACGCAAGTGTATGATATTGAAGGGGCAGCAGCACTGTGATGGAGCCTCAATATGTTAATTGTTCATAATAATCATCTAAGCCGAAGAAGCAGAGGGCAATTTCTTGATGCATGGAGAAACAATTGTTATTTAACCGGAAGAAAATAAGTTGGAGTCCAAGGAAGGAAGTGACATGTCGTGACACGGGCATTGCAGCACTTTGATTTGCAGTGTCTGGGTACTGTCATGTCATGTGCATGCCAACTTGTGAAGAGGATAATTCTGTTTGGCATTTGTTATTTTTTTTCCCCTCATCATCCATGCTCTGGTTCTTATGTTTTATTATCTGCGGGTATAACTTAATGTGCATATGAAAAACCGTCCAACTCAGTATCAGAAGTTTGTACAGATGGTATCCGTAGTCCTTGTTGATGTCTTGTAGCCAAGAAAATGTGGCATTGAATGTATAAAATTTCGATGACAGTACAGTGTTTCTGGCCATTGTAATTATTTGATGAAGTGGGAAGAACTTCATTGTGAATGTATTGTCTCATTTAATTACGACCAGCGGATCTGATTAGTTATTCTGAAGTTAGCAGATTGATTAATCAACTAAGGTGGAACTCATCAACTCTGGCATATGAAACATGAATACGCCATCTCAAAGCCAGCCCGAACTGGGCATGTCGATTTGGGTTGGGCGAGTCTCTAACATTAGAGATTAATGTCGTTTGGTACCATTTTCTTTTTCCTTCTTAAGTTTTTTGACTGGTTCTTATTATAACATGCACCGTAGGTTCTTTCCCCGGCCTAATGTCGAATAAGAAAATAGCCATCAGTGATATGCACCAAAAACATACTCATTCCTGCTATGTTCAAATGCTAATTTTCAAGAAAACTGTTGTTTTTATTTTATTTTATTTAGAAAACTTGAAGATAATATTTGTTATGGTTTATTGTGAAGTCCAAAATACTACTAGCATTAATTGTTAGTTCAGTTAAGGACATATTCAAAAAAATTTTAAAAAAATTAGCACATTAATTTTTTTGATACATTAACATAATTATTTTTTTTAATTAGTAAGTGAGTACCTATGATCATAATTATAGAAAGGTTGTCCAGAAGAAAAAACATGATTCATATCAGATGTTGTGATGCATTAATCCATCAATTCAAATAACAGAACAATCACCTACTCATGCCAACGAAATATTGCTTTTCCTTTTTGTTTTTTTGGCCTAACAAATAAATATTGATTTAAATAACTTAGTCCCATGCATTTATCCTCACTTATCTCTAATAAATTAACACGATAATTAAAAAAAGGGAGCATTTGAAATGACAATGCAATTTTGAAAAGGAGTAGGGAGAAAGAAAATGGATATAGTCCTTTAAGCTTTAATTATTAAACTCTTTTATAAAAATATCACTTCACCCCCCAAAAAAGAAAATCCTCGTTAAGAAAAATAGTGAAAAAAATGTTATTTTATTATAACTGAGTTCTTTTAAAAGAGTGTGCCGCGGATAATTTTTCTAGCAAAATATTACACTTTTGAAAAGAATATTATCTTTTCTGCTTATTGTGTTCTGTGTCAGCTTTTGAAAAGTCTGTTTTTTCTCTACTCAATAACTTATCACATCTAACTTCCTCATGATTTTCTCTTCCCCCAAAAACAAAATTTTTTTTTGTTGGAATTACATAATTTCTTAATTTTAAAATATACATTTTTTTAGCAGAAATGTTGAAATATACATAAACATCCCATAAAGAATTATTTCATATTTTAGTCGAAATTACTGCATTTATCTTGCATATTAACATGCAAATCAGTCAAGTGGGTCAACTACAAGTATTAAGCATACTATTATCACAAGAAACAGGAAAGTAACATAATATATTTACAATACAAAACAGGAAACTGTATATACTTGTTTAAGTTTATACAAGTGTTTCTCTTTTTCTGAAAAGGTATCTCTAGAATCTATGTCTGCTTGATGTTGTTGTTGGCCTCAAATTTCCCCAACAAATACATGATTCGCCAGAAAAACATTCACATTTAATTTCTCTCTTTTTCCCAAACCGTGCAGATGGTGAAGAGGACTTGTGTTGTTAATGTAAGTTTCATATA